TATAACATTCCTGAGGGCTAAAGGCTGACCAATCATAGGGTCGTTATGTAACATACATGCAGTTATGACTCGTTATAATAAACATACAGTTAAGTATAAGTATAGTTACAATGCAGTACATACTGCACACCCCTACCCTTAAAATAAAGCACCCCTATTAAGCCTTATAAACATAAAAATAGTAAATTAAATGCAAAATAAAATTGTAATCATAATATAGTTAAAACAAAGTATGGTTATATAATGTTAATTGTGTATCAAAATTAATAATAGTAATCATAATTATAAAATAATTTTTAGTGATTTTATAAATAACTATCATCTGTCGACAAATGCTGGTCTACAGGTTATTTGATAACGACCTAGAGATGTTGTTGTTATCTCGTGATAACTGCTGGTGAACAGGTTGATAGTTATCGATTCACGGATGTAGAAGTCGTCTGGTCACAACTTCTGGTCAACAGGTCTGTTGCTATCAATCCAAGGATGTAGTTGTCTTCTCATGAAAACTGTAGGTCGACAGGTCTGTTGATAACGATCCACGGATGTAGTTGTCTTCTCATGACAACTGTAGGTCAACAGGTCTATATGGTTAATCAAAAATTCTATCCAATTATTTTTGTTAAGACTACGGCGAATATAGCACATCTTGGCATCATTTTTGTGCTATGTGATCAATGGGTCTTCTCGAGAATAAACACTAATCATTGATGCAATTCCACAACCCATTATCACTCATTAAAATTTATAACTCGCATGGATTCTTAAATTGAAGTCTTGTTTGCAACCAATTCTTCAATATTTCCTAATCCATTATCATTCATCCATATTCTCAAATATGTGCGTTTGTGGCCACTACTTTCGGAGTTATATTCCACGGTCAGAGGCTATACTAAGCCACTGACAAATTATACATCTTTGATGTATTCTTTTAATAAATGATTAATTTCAATTACACTCAGCCGTCTAAACAATTTAAGGATCTCCAGTCCTTAGGTCGGTGGATCTCTGGATCTCCACATTTCGGTCAAATTAACCAAATGTAATTCTGATGTTAAAATAGTTATTTTGGATAAATGTGACATTTCAGGCTTCGCTCAGAAACAAAAGGCGTTCCGTATCAAATGTCAGTTAATATTATTTAATATGACTAACTATTAATAATTATGATTTCACCTGGGTGGCTAGGTCAGGTGGTATCTGTAAAATTATAGCATTATGCACTATAATTATTGTGTTGTTTGTGTATTAGGATCCAATATAAATACACTCTAGAATCATGCACTAGAGTTGGTGATTATAATAAAATTATAAAACAATTAAATTGTAATAATTAAATATTAGATATGTAAATAACAATGATCTGAAGACCTAAGGTCAGTAGGTCGTTTGGTCGTTTGGTTTGTGTATGTGTTTACATAATTAAAATTCATAATTCATTTTAAAAGTATATGTTTGTAATCAAATGACCCATTGATCTCTGGATATGATAAGCGGCATCTTATATGCCTCTAATTTAATCCCAATTACTAAAAACATATCTGTAGATGTTAGGTCAATTAATTATCATTTCATAATTTTTAAAATAATCGTACCAAATATCAACACTGTATTGTTTGTGTTTTATGAAAACATATAATTATCAAATATAAATTAATTATGTTAGGTGTTATTATTAGTAATTCGCGCTTTTTATGTAAATGCTAAATAAATTAAAGAATATAAAAAGAATAGTCATAGATCAGGGTATTTGTTCAATAGATAAATAGAGCTAAAGATCTAGTGACACATCATTTGGTCGTTTGATAGTATAAATAGAAATTTAAAACATTCATAAATTAGTAAATTATCAGATTTTTTCAACTAAAATAAAATAGATGAAAGTATTTTTAAAAAAACAAAATCTTAAAAGTTATACGGATTAGCTCACTATTGAGTAAACCAACAATAGTGATAAAAAGCTTAGCATTTATTAGTTATAACTATTGGCGACATTTGACTTGTCAGTCAATGTCGTATGACATAAAGGGTAACCATCATTTGTGCGCGTACTTTTACGGTAGTTTTGGCTTTCATTATTGTTATTCTTAAGCAATAGACTACTAAGCATTTCATTAATGCTTTCAAAGCCTTTTGCTATTTCGCTTAGCGGATCTGCAGATCCGCTGGAATTAGGTCTGTAGGTCACTGCAACGCTATGCGAAATGGTCTGATCAGTAGGTATTTGATATTTAATAAATCGCTGTGCCGTAATCATATTTGCCTCTTCTATGGTCTTAAGCTTACCGAGCAGATCGGTACAGTCCTTAGGTTCCATCACAAGAACCCCTTTTAGATCATTAGCTTTAAGGCCGCGCATTACATGACCTAATTTGTCCTGTTCATCCATTGTTGGATTAAATTTATTACATAATCGCAGTATATCATACAAATATGAAATTGCACTTTCGTTTGGGCGCTGAAAACGAGAAATTAAAGCATTTTGATTCATAGACCTGTAATTTTGTGGACGAAACGCTTTCCGTAAACCAACGAATATGTTTGCCAACGACACACTCTCTTCAAAGGTGTTGTAGTCATCCTGACCAATGTGTGCAAAGGTGCGGTACCATAACTCAGCTGTTGTCTTTAGTGATATCGGGAGCCGTCGTTTTTGCATCTCTTCATTCCAGTTGTTACATCTAGAGACGTACACGTAGTGGTCGAGCCAGTCGTCTACGTCCTCTGTTCCATCGAACGGTCGTGGATCTACGGATCCAACGGTAAGTATTGACATAACTTCATCTGATGACTCGATATCTCGAACAGTTGTCATTTGGTCTTCAGGTCCTTTGCTCTTATTTACAGCACCTAACATGTTAGCTAAAGAGCTACCGACCACTGCAACCTCCACCATATGCAACATGAATGCCGATTAGTTGGTCATTCGCTGTGACCGTCAACTCGCGGCGTCAGTCGAGTGCGTTAGAGCGGGCGCTACCTGTTCTCACCTTTGATGCGCTGTCATCCGCCGGCTGAGCTTTAGGTCCTTAGCTCAGGTACCTTAGCTCAGGTCTCTAGGTCTGTGCCCACTCTGTGACCGCTGTGTCCGGTTGACTGTCACAGGTTGCTGTCGTTATTAGTTATTATTATTATTTAAAAGGGGTTAGCATTAAATACACGGTTTAAAAGTAAAGTATTTAATATAAAAAACACAAAAGTATAAATGTATTACATCTTATAATATAAGGCTTTTCAAGGGTGTGTTGTAACCTCTCTTACGTACAGTAAGAGAGTTAAGCGACAAAAAGCCCCGAGAGTTGGGAAACACAGCCTATTTAAAGGCAAAATAGGAGTGGGAGTTGAATAACATTCCTGAGGGCTAAGGGCTGACCAACCATAGAGTATAATATAAAAAACACAAAAGTATAAATGTATTACATCTTATAATATAAGGCTTTTCAAGGGTGTGTTGTAACCTCTCTTACGTACAGTAAGAGAGTTAAGCGACAAAAAGCCCCGAGAGTTGGGAAACACAGCCTATTTAAAGGCTAAAAAGAAATAGGAGTTGTATAACATTCCTGAGGGCTAAAGGCTGACCAATCATAGGGTCGTTATGTAACATACATGCAGTTATGACTCGTTATAATAAACATACAGTTAAGTATAAGTATAGTTACAATGCAGTACATACTGCAATATTACACTTTATGATCTAATTGTACTCATTAATGCTTTTATTTCATTATGACTTTCCTTACATTGAAAAGTATAGGAAAATATCTATAACTTTATAATAAATATTATTTCAATTAAAAGAACTTCTTTAAGAAAACAGTAGTTTAAAAGATAATTAATTTTTTGCATAAGTTTTGTGCGTTTATTCACATTTTCTAATCATATAAAATAATAAAAGAAAGTATTGTCTGATTTGCCAAAGTGTTAAAGTCTATAAAGTGTTGAATAAATATAAATATCAAAATTAATTAATCGATATTTAAACTACTTAAATGTGAATTTAATGTCAAAACCAACTGACACTATCTGTTAGTTTTTATTGTTATGAAATATATCACACTCTTTGACGGCTACTCGAAAGGTGTGAAAAATTTTGCGATAAACAGCAATGAATTACTGTATAAATAGTACTTATAATACAATTCTTTGGCAACAAATATTTTTGCTGCCTTTAAATAAACTTTGCATTTAATTTGATATAACAATCATATCATTAAGCAAATAATGAGACGCGGATTACACTGTTTTTAAGATTACAATTGGTTGAAGAAATTATATTTTTGTTATATTTCTGTAAATATTTAAAAATCTCATCAAAATAATTGTCAAACAAATGGATTTAGATTTTAAAAATCATTTTCAAATTTCTATATCTTATTTAAACATTTGATTAGTATTTCTTGAGAGAAAGACATATTTCTTAATAATTGTGCAAATAATCAATAATTGAAATAAAGTGTGAATTTTTGACACCAATGGAATGCCAAAGTTATCAAACGATTAGTTAATACGGTATCCATTGAGTCGTGCGATAATTGTCAACCAATTTTCCTAAAGTCATCCAATCATTAGTAATACAAACAATGAAAAATATTATACAATATAGGAATGCCAAAGTTATCAAACGATTAGTTAATACGGTATCCATTGAGTCGTGCGATAATTGTCAACCAATTTTCCTAAAGTCATCCAATCATTAGTAATACAAACAATGAAAAATATTATACAATATTCACAGTAAGACAAACACACAGAGTATTACCGGTAGTTATTTGTTAGAGAGATATCGAGAGTAAAACAATGCCTAATAAATAATGTGATAATCAATTTGTTAGAAATATATAGTTTTTTTTCTATGATAATATTTCCAGTGGTATTTTCTCATTTCATAAATCGCTTGTAACCCATAATATCGCACATAATATGAATGGTTACGACGGGCGCCGACGTCTGCTGAGCACCGGTAGTCTGTATTTCGACATCGATAAAGAGGAGAGGGAGGCCTTCAATGAGATCAATCGCGACGAAAGCTTCGGTGAATTAGAGTGGAAACTGAAACGATTGCGCGCGGAGTTCAAGATTAAGGACAACGATGTCTTGTTCAGGAAATATCAGTCCCGTCTTCAGCACAGGTTCTTCACAATTCTTCTCATGTTTAATATGATCGTCAATTTCATCGACTGTTTTTGGTACTTCTTCTACAAAGTGAGTTCACCACTCATTTACCACTCGTTTATTACTTTTTAATCACTTAATTATATAATATAAAGTCATTTTATTGCATATCTTTATATAACATGTTATTTATATTTTATCATTAATTATGTGTATATTTATTGTGTATTTTCAGTTCACTGTATAGTTGTTATACATATTTTGATTTATAGTGAAAAATATTATACAATATTCACAGTAAGACAAACACACAGAGTATTACCGGTAGTTATTTGTTAGAGAGATATCGAGAGTAAAACAATGCCTAATAAATAATGTGATAATCAATTTGTTAGAAATATAGTATATAGTTTTTTTATGATAATATTTTCTGTGGTATTTTCTCATTTCATAAATCGCTTGTAACCCATAATATCGCACATAATATGAACGGTTACGACGGGCGCCGACGTCTGCTGAGCACCGGTAGTCTGTATTTCGACATCGATAAGGAGGAGAGGGAGGCCTTCAATGAGATCAATCGCGATGAAAGCTTCGGTGAATTGGAGTGGAAACTGAAACGATTGCGCGCGGAGTTCAAGATTAAGGACAACGATGTGTTGTTTAGGAAATATCAGTCCCGTCTTCAGCACAGGTTCTTCACAATTCTTCTCATGTTTAATATGATCGTCAATTTCATCGACTGCTTTTGGTACTTCTTCTACAAAGTGAGTTCACCACTCATTTACCACTCATTTATTACTTTTTAATCACTTAATTATATCATATAAAGTCATTTTATTGCATATCTTTATATAACATGTTATTTATATTTTATCATTAATTATGTGTATATTTATTGTGTATTTTCAGTTCACTGTATAGTTGTTATACATATTTTGATTTATAGTGATATAAGTGACAGATCGATAACGTTTCGCTTCTCCCTCTCCCCCAACCCCTCTATAGACGGACTTTGAGTTCCCATTCCCGGCAATGTTGCGGTTGACGGCACTTATAGTCTACATATCGTTCCTAATCCTCGCCCATCACAACGAGAAATGGTTTCGGTCTGAGTTCGCCCGCGCTATCGCCGGAATCGCCGTATTGTTGGCCATGATTTATGCCGAATACGGAGGTTTCATATTCACTCTTACCGGCGACCAGTCCTTCAAATGGAAACGCCTTCGACCCGTATATTACCTCATTATATGCAATGAACTTCTATTGCCGTTCCCGTCGCGGGTCTACTCAGTGGTGGCCACTGTTGTGATCATAGCGTTGGAGATAACGGTGACATTGGTTTGGCCAACAGTGTCCGACTCCAACTGTCAGGCACTCACACCTGAGTCCATAGACTCTCCGGCAACTTTTGGCACGTATTATGACAAATACAAGTATTTAGTGTCCGATATATTCTTCTACATATGCGCCGCTTGTGTCGCATATTATGTGACATTTTTGCTGGAGATTGTGAACCGTCGGGCCTTTTTAGACCACCGCCGGTGCGTTGAGTCCAAGTTTAAGCTGACCTTCGAGAAGGACCAACAGGAGAGACTGCTCGGCTCGTGTCTACCCCAACATCTCATGAAGAAAGTGAAGAGAGATATCAGAGAGCGGTTCGCGCAGCACATGGAACAGCACGACTCGACACGACAGGCGTCCATTTCCCGGCCCTTTTCCGAGCTGTATATCGAGAAGTATACGGATGTCACCATTTTGTACGCCGATATCGTCAACTCAATGCTTTTGACACAATCGCTGGAATCGCCGCAAGATTTGGTCGAAACACTGAACGAACTTTTCGGTCGATTTGACACTCGAGCCGAAGTGAGTCTCAAACCATTATTTTCAATAGTTTCAAAACAATTAAATCGTGTATTTATAGGCCAACAATTGCTTACGTATCAAACTATTGGGCGATTGCTATTACTGTGTGTCCGGTATTCCCGTACACGACCCCAACCACGCGCTAAACAGTATTAATATGGGTATAGATATGATTGATATAATAAAGTAAATGAGCATGGTGTTTAGTCGACTACATTGAATCTAACGTTTGTAACCAATAATGTCAGAAATGTGCGCGAAGACATCCAGGTTGATGTGGACATGAGGATTGGCGTTCACACAGGAATGGTCTTCTCGGGGCTGTTGGGGCTGAAGAAGTGGCAGTACGACATCTGGTCCATCGACAGCATGAAGGCGTCCCAAATGGAGCATGATGGCGCGCCCGGATATGTGCACGTCACCAAAACTACACTGGATTTGGTGCCCAAACAAAGTCGATCCGATTTTCAAATTAAAGGCAACCGATTCTTGTTTTATATTAGCATTATTTTTTATATTTAAATATGTAAACCAATGCAGAGAACAATGTGATTCCGGGTGAGACCACTTACCTGATCCGCAAAACCAAAACCCATATTTCTATCGCCAAGAATTATGTAAAACAAATTTCCCGATCGGACCGAATGGTTGACAAACCGCGACCGAGTTATACGAGCTCTTTCTTGAGCTCTCGGGTCAGTATTATTGGTTAACCCTTTATTGGGCCCACAATTATTGAATGTAATTATATCGTTAATAATGATTGTGCAGAACTCATCGATGTCCTCGAGATCGTCATCACATTTTGGTTCAATGAGTCTTTCCCGCAGAAGAACTTGGGTTTTAGATTCAATGTCCGGAAATGAGTACGAATTTTATTATAACTTATCATTTGATATGATTTTTATTACATTTTAATTATACCAATAGTTTGGGTAAATTTCAAGGAATGCTCAGCTTTGCCAGCGATACAATATCGGACGCCATCGACAAAATGCCTCTCAATCTAAAAAGGTAATTCAGACAAACAATATTCACTTTGTGTCCACTTTGTTAACGCACTTCTCGCAGACAATACGAGTGTTCGCATCACTCGCTGGAAATCAATCCACATTTACTGCATTTCATACCCCGGAGGACAATAGACACACTGAAGAAGAGTACCATTCGTCACATCCATACCATAGACTTAGAGCACGAGCGCCAATATCTCCACGAAAAGGATCCGTTGTTTCCGTTTTACTTATATTTTTCAGCGCTAATCACTATCGCTATTATGATCATCAGATTCTTGACTCTTTATGATGAGCACACAGATTGGGGCACTTTTTGGTACACAAACGGCACTATTGTCTTCTATCTAACCGTATCTATTATCGCTATATCTCTGTATTTCACTCATAAAAAGAAACACGAGGTTTGATATAAAAATAATTTCAATTATAAATTGTGATTAATTTAGTGTTAATTTACAAACCAATAGATTAGCTATTATTATCGTATATTAATTTGGGCGTCCATTTCGTTCTCATTGATTCTTATCGCATGTTTGGATGTAATCCAGTGTCCGGTGTCTAACAGAATCACTCAAGAGGAGAGGGTTGAACACATTGACACTAGTCATAAGGGTAGTCACGAATGTTTATATAAATGGGTCAGTAATTTCATAAATGACAATTTGTCTACTTATAAATTGTACTAATCTTTTTGTCATTTCAGTCTCGGTATTACACATATTTAGCAGTACTGGCGCTGACATCCATTTCGATGTTTATGCGAATCAATTTGTGGCTGAAATTCATTTTGGGCACAATTACCCTCATTATAGTTAATACTCTCACACAATATCATAGCTGTTCAGTGTTTGTGAAGATCGACTCCTTCTATAACCACCAGAACCTTAAGGAAATGGAGTTCTTTACGCCACGTCTGGCACACATGCAGTACCTCTTTGTCGTGTATCTCATGTTTTATGTGATGGACCGTCAGATTGAATACATAATGCGATTAGACTTCTTGTGGTCAGTAAAGCTGAAACGTGAGCGACAAGAGGCCCGCATCACCAGAAATGTCAACCAACTGTTGCTGAAGAATATGCTGCCCATACATGTGGCCGAACGGTATTTGCTCAACACTCCCGACCCCATCAACAACACTGAACTCTACTACGAGGCCTATAACTCCATAGCCGTTATGTTTGCGTCGATTCCCAACTTTTTCAAGTTTTATAGAGACGACGACGGACTCAAATACTTGGAAATACTCAATAATATTATCTGTGATTTTGATCGAGTAATTCATTTTTAAATATACATATTTTGTTTTTGAATTGTAATGAATTTCTAACTGAAATACAAATATTTGAACAGTTATTAGTAGTGCCGGCATTCAGTCATAAGATTGAGAAGATCAAGACAGTCGGCTCTACATATATGGCCGCATCGGGTCTACGGCCCGGAAAAGGATCTATTGATGTATTTAACATTTAATTTGTTTTAAAGTTAACAATTATTGTTATATTTTTATCAATTCAATCATTTCATATTATAGAGTGTTATTAGTGTAGACGAAGAGATTGAAAATTTAATAGTATTGATCCGTTTTGCGATGGCGATGACAAAAGCGCTCAAAAAATTCAATGTTCACCGAAATTCACTGTACGAGTCGGGCTCTGACGTCGACTTTAAACTTAGGATCGGTATAGCAATGGGAGCCGTCACTGCCGGAGGTATTTACTTCTATATGTCACACATATTACGATAATTTTATAAGTGTTTTATAACTCATCACTCAATTATTTATTCATTTTATCACTACATTAGTTGTCGGATCAGTTAAGCCACAGTACGACATATGGGGTGACACTGGTATGTATTTAATGCACAGTAATTGCATTATTAGATATTTTGATTTCATATTTAAGACTTCTTATCGGTTTTGTGTTAAGACTTTAAGATTTATTAATACATTTTGTCTCATATTTGAGACACAATTACGTTATTGTCTAATGATTTATTGGCATAAAATTGTTAAATATGTTGTTATAGTGAACGTCGCGAGTCGTATGGACACCAATGGACTGATCGATCGGATCCATACGACCGAAGAAGTGGGCAAAATCTTGATCGAGTTCAATTTCCCGTATAAGCCCGTATGCAGAGGTGCTATGAATATAAAGGGGAAGGGAATGATGTCTACTTATCTCATCGATTCAAACCAGAAGGTTATGATTGAAGAATATTTAGGATTCTTCTGATATATTGCATAATAGCAGTGATAATGATTTCAAGTATTTATAGGTTTTATATATACAAACATTCAATGTTTGAAATTATTGTATTTAAAAACTTTTTTTACATACATATGAAAATATTTATAAATTCTTTAAACTTAACATAACTTTAGAAATAATAAATTTACACAAAAAACTCAAATTTTTTGATATTATTTGTGAAATTGAATACAAAACAAGGATCACACAGCGATGCTATACGTTAACCACTATTCGGGAAATGCATCAAAGATTTTAAAATTCATTTATAATCCTGTTGTCCCATTAATATACCATTAT